TCAGCCTCCCGAGTAGCTGGGACTACAGGTGCCTGCTACCACGCCCGGCTAATTTTTTTTGTATTTTTAGTAAAGCCGGGGTTTCACCATGTTAGCCAGGATGGTCTCGATCTCTTGACTTTGTGATCCACCTGCCTCGGCCTCCCAAAGTGCTGGGATTACAGGCGTGAACCACCGCGCCCGGCCTAAACGTAATATTCTTGGTCTGCTGTCCCTTCCACCGCACTACATTTCATGCCTGTAAAAAAACTACACTAATTATCTTTCTTACCAATTATCAGTAGATGAGGCATTCTCCTTCCTGAGTAATGAGACTGTGTAATTCAACCTGTTACATTAGACTGGAGGAGGAGAGGAAACCTTACCAATAAGCCAAGACCCTGGAAAGATTATAGCACATCTGAAAGTAGTCAGCCTCAGGCAACCAGAGGCAACAGGTAGCTTTCCATAATGAAATCCAGGAAAGACCAACCAATCCTCCTAGTCTAAGGGATAAATTTGGAAAACCAACAGAAAACATACAAACTACACAACATCACATTGTTTCTAGCTTTCTCTACCATTCTTTCACCATCTTAAAGCTATTTTCTTCTCCCTTCAAGATCATAAAACCTAAGTTATAATAAAAGCTGAACTCTTCCTTCAATTACCAATTACTTCATCTGCTCATCAACTATCAATTTTTTTTTTTTTGAGACCAAGTTTCACTCTTGTTGCCCAGGCTGGAGTGCAGTGGCACGATCTCAGCCTTCTGGGTTCAAGTGATTCTCCCACCTCAGCCTCCCGAGTAGCTGGGATTACACGCCCGGATAATTTTTTTTGTATTTTTAGTAGAGACAGGGTTTCACCATGTTGGCCAGGTTGGTCTTGAACTCCTGACCTCAGGTGATCCGCCCACCTCAGCCTCTCAAAGTGATGGGATTACAGGCCTGAGCCACCGTGTCCAGGCTCAGTTACAATTCAATGATTAAATTTGTCTTCTTAATAATAAACTTTACTTCCAGTAATTTAACAGTTCAAGGCAAGCTGCTAAATATTCCAAAACGATTTTTAAATATAGTAAGGACAAGTATAGATGATAATTACTATAACTATTTTTAACACATATAAAACTTTTCTATCAAAAAAATTGGTATTAGATTACTATTTCTAAGACAAAATTTCATATCAGAATCCCACTTACATTACATATATGTAAGCATGAAAAATATATGATTATTCACATCCCCCTCTTTCTACAAAATTAAGGTGTGAAATTGAACTCTAAGACGATGATACCCTTCTGATTTCAGATCTATAGCAGTAAAATTTTAAAGACCTGATTTTTCTAGGAACATATTAACAAGATGAGGAGACCAGAGAATTAAAAATGTGAGGTTTTAAATGTCTATCAACAGATGAATGGAAAAACAAAATGTGGTACATACATACCATAAATCATCATTTAGCCTTAAAAAGGAATGAAATTCTGATAATGCTACAACATGGATGAACCTTAAAAACATTATGCTAAGTGAAAGAAGTCAGACAAAAAAAAAAACAAAAGTTGTATGATTCTATTTATATGAGGTATCTAGAATAGTCAAATTCATGGAAAGTAGAAGAGTGGTTACTGTGGACTTGGGGTTGGAGGGTGGGGAATTTTTGTTTAATAGGTATGCTGTTTTAGTTTGGGATGATAAAAGTACTAGACGTGGGGCTCAGCCCGGTGGCTCACAACTGTAATCCCAGCATTTCAGGAGGCTAAGGTGGGTAGATCACTTGAGGTCAAGAGTTCAAGACCAGCCTGGCTAACATGGTGAAATCCTGTCTCTACTGAAAATACAAAAAGAATTAGCCAGGTGTAATGGTGTGAACCTATAGCCCTAGCCACTTGGGAGGCTGAGGCGAAAGAATTGCTTGGACCCCGGACGGAGGTGGAAACTGTAGTGAGCCAAGATTGCGCCACTGCACTCCAGCCTGGGGGACAGAGCGAGACTCTGCCTTGGAAAAAAAAAAAAGTACTGGAGATATGGAGATGGGTTGATGGCTGCACAGCAATGTGAATATACTTAATGCCACTGTATTATACACTTAGAAATGGTTAAAATGGTAAATTTTATGTAGTGTATATTTTACCACATAAAAAAAATGGGGGTTTGCTTTTTACACACAAAGGAAAATACAATCTCTCTTTGATGAGTTGAGTATGTAAGTGGCTTACTATGTACCTATCAGAACATGCTTCCACTTACTTCTACCAAAAGAAATACTTGAGGAGTGGGAGAGGATACAGCCAAAAATACAGACATTCCATTTTTTACCTATTCTATTTACCTCCAACCACTTGCAAAGATTACCTGTGTTTTAAAGAGTTCACTGCAGTTTTGGAACAATTTTGACGACGTTTGATATCTCCCAGACAAGCCTCTTTTTTCCTTAAGTTTTTCCAAATACATCTCTACTTCTTCTGCCTGAAAAAAGAGATAATACAGAGTAGTTAATTCACCTTTCAAAAAATAAGATACTAAGAGCACAACAAATAGTTCGTTCACCTGTAGTACAAATATAATTTTGAGTTTGCTATTTTAAAAATGAACAGCATCAGATAAAGGCTCCATATAAAAGTATCTAAGAATCGAACACTATTAGACTCAAGGGCATAATTCTAGTCTTGGCTCACAAGGCATAGTTCTACTAACAATTCTGAGTAGACTGGGAAACTGCCAAAGTGTAGAGGGTTTTGTCACATTAAAATATACTTAAAAGAGTTTACTTGACCAAATTAACATCATCAACAAAAAGATATTCATGCTCATAAACTAAGATAGAGCACAAAATTGCTGCAAGCACAAAAGAAGGACAATCTTTTTCAAAAATGCAAATAGGGAGATAGAAACAGAATGGAAAAGGTCTGAACAATTCAACTCAGAACTCTATATATATAGTTTTTAAAAAATTTTTACTTTAGGTTCAGGTAGACACATGCCACTTTGTTACACAGGTAATCTCAACTCACAGGGGATTGTTTCACAGATTATTTCATCACCCAGGTACCGCCTAGTACTCGAGTTATTTTTCCTGATCCTCTCCCTCCACCCTGAAGTAGGCCCAGTATCTGTCATTCCCCTCTTTGTGACCATGTGTTCTCATCATTCAGCTCCATCTTATAAGTGAAAACGTGATATTTCGCTTTCTGTTCCTGTGTTAGGTTGCTACGGATAATGGCCTCCAGCTCCTTCTGTGTTCTCACAAAGGAAATGATCTCTCATTCTTGTTTATGGCTGCATATGTACTGCATTCTTTTTTATGGCTGCATATGTACCACATTTTATTTATCCAGTTTACCATTGATGAGCATTTAGGTTGATTCCATGTCTTTGCTATCGTGAATAGTGCTGCAGTGAACATACGTGTGCATGTGTCTTTACGGCAGAATGATTTATATTACTTTGTATATATACCCAGTAATGGGACTGCTGGGTCAAATGGAAATTCTGTTTTTATCTCTTTGAGGAACTGCCACACTGCTTTCCACAGTGGCTGAACTAATTTACACTCCCACTAACAATGTATATGCATTCCTTTTCCTCCACAACCTTGCCAGCATATATTATCCTTCGACTTTTTAATAATAGCCATTCTGATGTGAGATGGTATCTCATTGTGATTTTGATTTGCATTTCTCTAATAATCAGTGATACAGAGCTGTTTTTTTCATATGCTTGTTAGCTGTATGTATGTCTTCTTTTGAAAAGTGTCTGTTCATGTCCTTTACCCGCTTTTCTATGGGGTTGTTTTTTGCATATAAATTTGTTTAACTTCCTTATAGAGGCTGGATATTAAATCTTTGTTGGATGCATAGTTTGCAAATATTTTTTCCCATTCTGTAGGTTGTCTGTTTACTTTGTTGATAGTTTCTTTTGCTGTGCAGAGGCTCTTAAGTTTAATTAAATCCCATTTGTCAATTTTTGCTTTTGTTGCAATTGCTTTTGGCATCATCATGAAATCTCTGCCACTTACCATGTCCAGAATGGTATTGCCTAGGTTGTCTTCCAGGGTTTTTATAGTTTTGGTTTCACATTTAAGTTTTTAATCTATCTTGAGTTGATTTTTGAATATGGTGTGAGCAAGGGCTCCAGTTTCAATCTTCTGCATATGGCCAGCATGCTAATGCAACACTATTTACTAAATAGGGAGTCCTTTCCCCATTGCTTGTTTTTGTCAGCTTTGTTAAATGTCAGATGGTTGTAGGTGTGCGGCCTTATTTCTGGGCTCTCTTTTCTGTTCCCCTGGTCTTTGTGTCTGTTTTGGTTACTGTAGCCCTGTAGCATAGTTTGAAGTCAGGTAATGTGATGCTTACAGCTTTGTTCTTTGAGCAATATATTTTCAGTGCTCAAGTATTCCGGATTATGGCAATTCTCAAAAGTGTGGTTGCTGAACCCTTTCACAAAGTCTAGGTGGTCAAAACTATTTTCATGGCCAGGCATGGTGGTTCACACCTATAATCCCAGCACTTTGGGAGGCTGAGGCAGGTGGTTCACCTGAGGTCAGGAGTTCGAGACCAGCCTGGCCAACATCTTTACTAAAAATACAAAAATTAGCCAGGTGTGATGGCAGACACCTGTAATCCCAGCCACTCGGGAGGCTGAGGCCAGAGAATCACTTAAACCGGGAGGCAGAGATTGTGGTGAGTCAAGATCACGCCACTGCACTCCAGCCTGGGCGACAGAGTGAGACTTTGTCTCAAAAAAAAAAAAAAAAAAATAGTATGCTATTTGACTCGCAATGATATTACGAAAGCAACAGTGGGGAAAACTGCTGCCCCTTATCAGGAACTAAGGCAATGGCACTTAATTGTACTAGCAATCATATTCTTCACAGTCACAAACTGGCAGTTCTTAAAAATGCCAGTTTTATGTAAGAATATCCTTGATAAAACAGTAAAAATTATTAATGTTATTAAATCTGGACATTTTGAGTACCTGACTTTTTAAATAATCTAGGTGACAAAATGGAAGTATGCAAAATACAATAAATTATTGTCCTGAGATAAAGCACTCTGCAACTGCTTTGACTTGTGAGTTAAACTAATCATTTTTTTCATGAAACACATTTACTTGAAAGAATGACTGAAAAACTACCATTACTCAGATGTGGTTATTTGAGAGATATTTCTCTGGAAATAGGCAATGGAGGCTGTCACCTCAAGGAAGACAACTGACAGTATTCACTGCCAAATAAAATTTGAGATTTCAAGCAAAAACTGGAATTGTGAAGAACTTGTATCTGCTACACTGAATTTAACTCCTTCCAAAACTTAAGAACCTACTGATGAGATGAAGAGGGCAGGGGACAGTTACAAACAATGTAAGTTTTAGCTAAATGTGAAATGAGTTAATATTTAGAAAATGTATATAATTCAGTCAACTACTATTTTCTAAATGACCAATAAATGATGCTACAAGATCACACACAGGTGAAAGATACATTCACAGCAGTGGATTTTTTTTATCAGAGTACAAAAAAAGTTCACTAATATTTCAGATTCCACATTGCAACTAACCTTTAAAAACTTCCACTTGAGTTTTCATACAGAATCAAAAAAGAATATCCTCAGTTATCTGAAAAGGCCATTAAAATACCATTCCTTTTCCCAACTATATATCTGTATGAGGTCATTATTTTCTACATGTACTTAAATCAAATTATTGCAACAGGCTGAGTGAAGAAGGGAATATAAGAATCCAGTGATCCTGTTATGCCAGATAGTAAACAAATTTAAAAAAATACGAAACAATCGTACTCTTTTATGTAGTTTTCTTGGAAAAACAGTTATTTATATTAACATGTAATAAGTTTATTATTGTTACTTTAAAATTAATAAATATTTCTATATTTTCTGTTGTAATTTCTAATAGCATAAAGGCTTTCTGGAGTCTGCAATAATTTTTACAAATATAAAAGTTCTGAAACTAAAAAGTTTGAGAATTGATGGTCTGCAAATTGGGAAGCATGTGTTCTAGTTTCAGCTCTCCTCCTCCATAGCTACATGATACTCTTTCCTCCATGAAATCAAGAGACTGGAACCAGATAATCACTAAGGTCCAAGAAAAGTCTATAATTTTATGTTCGTTACCTTGAAGTTGTAGATTTCATTGTAACAATCAGCACTTTTCAGATACCAGGTTATATTCAAAGACAGGTCACAAGGTTCTCCATCAACTATAAAAGAATAAATCTTTGTTAACAAAAGATAATTCCCCAAAAAAGCATTATTCCTAAACTGTTAACCTGCATCCTATTTATTTCCTACCCTAAACTGAGATACTCAAAGACTATCCTTTCTCCAAACATAAGGTATTGAAATAATATAGCAAAAAAAGCTGGATATTAAGATAAAAGTATTGTTGTTCATAGAAAAATAGCAGGTAGGCAGTTTTTAACCTCTTGAAACTGTGGATCTATTTTTATGCCATAAAGTCCTAACTTCTGGATCTCTATTGGGAAAAACCTGGGAGTGATAAAGCAGTCCTAAATTAAAGCCAGTCTTCTATTATTTAAGTATTTATTGAGCGGGCTAGGTGCAGTAGCTCACACCTATAACCCCAGAAGTTTGGGAGGCCAAGGCAGGGGGATCACTTGAGCCCAAGAGTTCAAGACCACCTTAGGCAACATAGTGAGAACTCATCTCTACAAAAAATGTTTAAAAAGCTAGGCGTGGTGGTACCTGCTTGTAGCCCCAGCTACTCAGGTGAGGGAGGCAGGAGGATCACTTGAGCCCAGTCTGCAGTGAGCCATGATGGTACCACTGCACTCTAGCCTGGGCGACAGAGCGAGACTCTGTCTCGAAAAACATAAATAAATAAATATGGCACACTGTTAGGCCAAAAAGGGAAATGAGTGGAAACAAATTATTAAGACCCTTCAAAAGGCTAGTTGAGACAAGGAATAACAAAATTAGGAATGCATGTCACAGGGCAATATTCGTAACTGTTAAATGGTGTTAAACGATGATATACATAATAGTGGATAATAGTTCCACTGAGAGCATAATTCATATCTTGGACCTTGAAAGATATCAAGATAGAACAGAAAGAGCAATGAACGAAAAGCAAACATGGCTGTGGAAGGTAGAAATAGCAAAAGCAAAGATAAGCGTATCAGATTTTTTTTTCAAAGCCTACCTTAAAAGAGGCCTCAAGGAAGCTCATGTTATCATGGAAGCCTCATAAAACTCATTAAACACAGTTTGAAACACAGTATTCTAATGAATCAAAACATTATTCTGAAGATTTGGGAGGGTAAATCTGACTATATGACTGATTAGCTAGAGGAAGTCAGTATTCGCTTTTATCTCTGATTCTAGCTGTGAAAGGAAAAATACACTAAAGACTCCCTACTTTATACAAATGTGACAAAAATAAACATGACTGCATTTAGGAATCTACTTTTGGTTCATAATAAAAGATGTAACCTAATTATAAGCTTCCTTTTTTTCTTTCTTTTAAACTGTTTTCTCAAACTAATTTTTAAATGACCAACACATTTTCAAAGGACTCTACTAGAATGTTCAAAAATCTAACCCATTGGATAGAATTTACGGAAATGGTAAAAAGCAATCAGGCTATGAACTATTCAAAAGAATCCATACAGAGATAAAATTAACTAGTAAAAAGCCACTAAGAACACATGCCCCAAACAGGAGACTTGTAAGGAAATTTGGCAGCAAAAATACAGCTGTTTATGTTAAAAGACAACATTTAGAACCTTAAATGAAAGGTTTTAAGAGACAATAAAAATGGTTCCAGCTATTCCATGGAAAGCTATATACCATTCCCCAAAAAGTACAAAATCAAAGACAACTGGTAAATACGAGAAAGCACAGGAATAACTAAGAAAAAGATAATGTAAATGTTAAAGTGTCTCAGGCCGGGCATGGTAGCTCATACCTGTAATCCCAGAACTTTGGGAGGCCAAGGCAGGCAGATAACTTGAGGTCACGAGTTCGAGACCAGCCTGGCCAATATGGTGAAACCCCATCTCTATTAAAAATATAAAAATTAGCCGGCATGGTGGCACACGCCTATAGTCCCAGGTACTCGGGAGGCTGGGGCAGGAGAATCGCTTGAACCCGGGAAGCAGAGGTTACAGTGAGCAGAGATCGCGCCATTGCATTCCATCCTGGGCGTCATAGTGAAACTCCGTCTCAAAACAGAACAACAAAAAATAAAGTGCCTCAAATCCTCCAAAAACAATGAAATATAAACACTTCAAAATATGTAGTTGGGGCCAGGCATAGAGACTCATGCTTGTAATTCCAGTTACTCGGGAGGCCAAGGCAGGAGAATCACTTGAACCTGGGAGGCAGAAGTTGCAGTGAGCCAAGATCACGCCACTGCACTCCAGTCTGGGTGACAGAGCAAGACACTATCTTAAAAAAAAAAAGAAAAAAAAAAATGCAGTTGGTTTAACTTGGCAAAAACACCACTAGATCAAACTACAAGTGAAAAAAAGACTGGACCTAATAAAAGAATAGAACAGCAAACAGGCTGTCAGACTATTCCAAAAGACAAGGGTTATTAGGTTACCTAGTAAACCAATCTCACAAGGCCAGTGTCAGAGTAGATTTGATCTAAATCAAATGTAAGTCATTGGTCAGGAGACTGATTATATATTCATGGACATAGCATATACTCTTCAGAGAAATTCTACCTGCTGCTTTCACTCCTGCTAGAATGTAAGCTCGATGAGGGAAAAACATTTTTCTATCACTTCCCCGCAGTCTATGCAATAAGTAATAGTTACTTATTAAACAATTGAAAAGAATAAAATCATCCAACTATGACTTACAATTTTGCACTTCCGTGAAGACAGTATGCATAGAATCACACATCTATCATCAGGATTTTTATCCCTCATCTAGAAATAAAGCTGCCCACAATCAATTATTCGCTAAATTAAAGCCAGTTTCAAAACTAAAAGGAACCTTTATTTAACACACAATGGGATACTTTAGATTCAGACACAGTCATTTTTCCACTAGACAAACTAGTTTTGTTCTACATTGTCCCTATTTCTTGATCATATCTGAGCTTCCTCTTCCAAGGCAGTAAAATACTCCTTTTGTAAATAAAAGATCTACTTAATATATTCCTTCACAGCCAATGGCCTGACAAACCTAGGTCATGTTTTCAGTAAACATTTAACAAGCACACAAGAGTAAAACCTCTTTAATCTACACAAAACAGATTAAAACAACCATGCAGGGAATCAACCCCAACATAATCACAGTCATGCACTATGTAACATTTCAGTAAATGAAAGACTACATATACAAGGGGGTCCCACTGTAATATCGTATTTGTACTCTACTTTCCTATGTTGAGATATACAAAAACTTACCATTGTGTCACAACCACCTATAGTATTCAGACAATAACATGTTATACAGGCTTATGGCCTAGGAGCAATAGGCTGTTCCATACAGACTAGGCGTGTAGCGCCATCCAGTTTTAAGTATGCCATCCAGTTTTAAGTATACTCTATGATGTTTGCATAATGACAAAATCACCTAAGGATGCTTTTCTCAGAACATATCAACTGTAAATGTAATTCGACTGAGATGTGACTGAATATTCAACGTAGTATATATAGCACATCTATTAATATATACATTATGTTAATATATAATGTATACATAGTGTATACACGCAATGCAAACGCCAAAAAAACAAAAGAAGAAAATAAAGTTCACACGAGTACTTTGAAGATGATTCAGTGAAAGGACCTTAGTAATCCTAAAAATATTTATACCTAGATAATGCCAGACTATTAGATTTCAGAACTTTAAAAATAGGTAATTTAAAACATTACCTATGAATTTTTAAAATTCAAATTAAAACTTCATGGAATTCAAAAACTCACACTTCAGGAAGATAGTGGTATTTCTGAAGAGGATCTTTCCAAAACTAAAATAATTTTTCCCCTGAAAAGATAAAGCAAAGACAATTAGCCTCAGATGGCTTCAATTACCAAAGCATCATATAACTATCTAAGGCTGCTAGAAATTCCAACTTAACTTAAAATCTTTATGGAATGTACCCCTTAATCAGTTCATTCCCTTTACTCACCAATCACTGCTCAGAATAACCAATCATTTTTTCAAATGAACTATTCTGTGTGCAGATAACCAGAGTTTTATTTTCAAATCTAAAGACTTAAGTATTAACCACTTTAGTAACAAGCAAACACCTAACTGAACACCTGAAAATCTTCACCATTGAACAAAAGGTATAATGTTTGCCATATACAAAAGTCCAAATAAGATTTGGACATTACAATCAGTGAGCAGTGCAGAATGAAACAAAAAGGCCAACATAGGTTTAACGGGGCTAATGCTTTTCAGCACTTCCTCCCTGCATCTGGTTTTTGTCTGCTCACAGGACTATACCTGTTACTGAAATAAGGTTTAAAATGGGTAAGGGGCAGAAAGGGTCAACCCATGTAGTTAATTATCCAAATGAAAGATTAGCCTTACCACATTAAATTTTAAGTACTATTTTTTCCACTTTAACCACTCTCATGTTAAAACACATTTTAAAAATCTCTATGCTTTCTAGTTACACAGTAAAGCTTAGAATAGCCATTTCAAAGTTGAAGCGAAGTCGAACCATCTCGTAAGCAGGATTACTCAGGGACCAAGAAGTGCAGAGGAAAAAAAAGAAAGAAAGAAATGAAGACTCTATTTACGTATCTTTCTTATCCAACCCGGGGGCACTGGATTCTGTGAAACATAATCTGAAACATAAACAACTCTCCGTTTGTACATCAAATTTACATCTCAAGTCAGGCACTGAAAGTTCTGTTTTTCTGATGAGAAGCCGCTCCACCACTCCTGTCTGTTGCTGAGGTGGCCCTGACATTCCCGCTAGCCTAATCAGTGCGCAGCTTTCCCCTTCAGGGGGAGGTGGGTCCCAGTTGGCCAGCCACACAGACCATCCCGGCAACCCCACCCCTTTTGAAGAGACTTTTGCGGAACCTTCATGGACCCCTTGGGCCGCCGTAGCCCCACCTCTTGCTCCTCTAGGTTCAGACGCTAGTGAATACTCACCGACGGTATTGGAATGTGCCATTTGGACCGGTCGGCAGCAGCTACGGGTGCCGGTCCCACACTGAAAAGCGACAGTGGTGACGGCTGAGCTCCCAGAAGCAGAACAACGACAGGTAACACCTGAAGCCACGCAGCCGCCGCCATCTTCACAGCCGTGGAGTGCCTACCGAAAGCATTTCACCCTCTTCCGGTTCGTCCCGCCTTCTTCCGGCTCTCCTCTGGGGGCGGGATTATCCGGGTCCTGGAACCGTCGCGGGGCTTGTTTGCTGTGCGACGTAGCGGCCCCTCCCTCAGACAGTCATCGTTGCGCCTTGAGACTTTGGACCTACTGCGCAAGCGTCACTCTGTTGGAACCTGGTCAGCTGGGTTAGGGAGATCGCTACATGCCAGCCCGGCCTGAGTCTTTTCTCTCTCCCAGCCCTTAAAGGTTTTGGGACCAGGCAGGCACCCCGTGCAGGATTTGGCTCTTTACTTCTCCCGCTCGCCCCAGCCCCTCATACCTTATAAGTCAGTGTCAGACATTGGGGCCAGAAAGTCTGGAAAAGCCCTAAGTCTGGCTGCCCAATTGGCGTCTACTAGTGAGTTCTCTGGTTTGGGTGGTATTTAAGCAAAGACTGGAATTCGGCGGTGGTGGAGTACACGCGATTCCTAGACTGGGTAGTGTAACAACCTTCAAAGGCCCCTTCTAGCCCTGAAGAGTACGATGCTGCAGTAGAATCTGGTCGGAGACCTAACCTCCAGCAAAGACCCGACCGGCACTTCCCACTCTTAACCGAAAACGGAGACAGAGAGGGTCAGTTTTCAAAATCTGTGGCGTGACCCCGCCACTGAGGTAGATCTGCAGATGCTTCGTCCCAGTCGGGGAGGCCGTCTCGGCATTTCCCGGTTCACACGCTCTTGATTTTTACCCTCTAGGACTCACTGCGTACACGCCCTCACCGCCGCCCAGTTTCGGTTCCTAACAAAAGCATGTTCCTCCTCAGCCACCCATAATCAAGACACATTTGCCAAATAAATCATTGTAGAAACGCTAGTTTGGGCCTGAAAAATTCCAGGAGCAAGAGTCAAGATTTGTCACTCCATGAGGTTCTGGAGGGAACTCCCTTTGCAGAAACTTGACGGTGAAGTGCTGGTTGTAATTTTAGAAAGACATCCAATCGTCTTTTTTAAAAGATCGCCCAGGGCCCTTGTCCTGAGAGCTGGGAGCTGATCGGAGTGACAGAGAAGCCATGGAAGCAGCTGAGAAAGAGGAAATAAGGTAAAGGCCAAGTGCTTCTGTAGCGAGTGACCCCAGGGTCCCTAGAAACAGGGAATAGTACCTGAAAGTACCTGAAAACATTTTGGCTTTGAAGATTTCATTGATTTTTTTTAATTGCGCTTCTTATTTGTGTATTTGGTATTTGCTCATCTTTATCTTTTCTCTCAATTCGCGGGGAGTTAGTTGATATTAATAGCATCTTGTAAAATACTTTCAGGATGGTTAAATAGGCCGGGTGCAGTGGCTTAAGCAGGTAATCTCACAGCACTTTGGGAGGCCAAGGCGGGAGGATCGCTTGAGTCCAGGAGTTCGAGACCCCCTCCCCGCCCCCTTGGAGTCCCAGCTACTTGGGAGACCAGTGAGGGGATGGATTTGGAGGCTGCAGTGAGCTGTGATCTTGCCACTGCTTGGGCAACAAAGTGAGACCCTGTCTCCAAAAAAAGGGATGGTTAAATAACATTGACAGTGGAGAAGTTGCAATCAGAACTGTAACACATGAATTTCAGGCATGTTGCTTTCCAAGTTCAACTATAACCACTCCCTTCCTATGTCATCCCAGAGTTAATTCTTCAAAGTTATAAAAAGGAAACAAAAGATTCTCCAATCTTCGTACACTTGATTAAAATAAACTGGGCCGGGTCGCTCATGCCTGTAATCCCAGCACTTTGGGAGGCCTGTAGGTGGGCAGATTGCTTGAACCCAGGAGTTCAAGACCAGCCTGGGCAACATGGTGAATCCCTGTCTCTACAAAAAATTTTAAAGTTAGCCAGACATGGTGATGTGGGCCTGCAGTCTCAGCTACTCAAGAGGCTGTGGCAGGAGGATAGCTTGAGCCCAGGAGGCGGTGGTTGCAGCGAGCCGAGATCGTGCCACTTCGCTCCAACCAAGGCAGCAGAGCGAGATCCTGTCTCAAAAAATTTTTTTTAATAAATTAAAATAAACAGACAAAGACTGAGTTCAGTGGAGGACAAACTTTTTTAGTATGGCCGAGTATATATGCCTGGGCTTGTTTTCATAATATTTGGACATTTGTGTTCAGTCATAGCTTTCTACGTAATCATGGACATGCTGACTGCAGATGCATTCAGCCACACCGGTGCATGAAAGCTAGTGTTATTTTTTCTTCTCATTATAATCTGTAGTTGTTTTAATCAGATGGAGGCTAGTTTAAATACATATACTCAAACTGCAGTATACACATACATCTCATTCATGTTTTATTCCAGAGAGAGCTCTTCTGGAAACTTGGTTTTAAAAAACATGGCCCCTAGATTGTCACCTCATCTTAAAAAGCAAGAAATTCCCCTTCTATGTCTGTTCTGTTCTTATTCTAGCACCTTGCACCTCTATTAAAGCATTTGTCAGCTTGTATTGTGATTGTTGGTAAAACCCTTACTGACAGCTTGAACACAGTCCATATCTTCCTCAGAGCCCAGCACCCAGGAAGAATGTTCTGAAAATATTTTGTTGAATAAATCTGTGGGTGGGTTATGGTTGTTAGTTTGTCTGGTTTGTTGGTTTTGGTTTGTTCGTTTTGGGATGCTGTTTTGGTTTTGCTCCTTCAGATTTTACTTTTGCAGTCATAACCTTCAGTCATTATTTCCAAAGAATATGTCCTCTTAAGTGACAGTGATCTTTTCCCATTACTTTCGGAGTAATCCCAGAACCTGATCTTTTGTTGTTTACCTCAGAGCATTTACAAAAGGCTATTGTTCTGCAGCATAATGTGCTATTATGTTATACTATGGCCGTGACACAATTTTGCATTGCAGAATAGACTCCAAAGGTTTATTTTGCATGTTCATACTGTAGTTAGAGAAGGTACAAAAATTGGACTCACAAGCCTTATGTAAAATAAATTTCTCAAAATGTCTTTTTATTTAGTGTTGAAGATGAAGCTGTGGATAAAAACATTTTCAGAGACTGCAACAAGATCGCGTTTTACAGGTAAGGAAGGTAAATATAGTAACTAGATCAAAACATTTCTTGACAGTAATTTCAAAATTGATACTTATTAAATTTTTGAGAACTGATAGACTTTCCAAGGAAAGGATAATTTAATAATTAAGGAAATCGCCAGACAGGAGACTCACTTTAACTTTATACATTTACTCCTGAAGTATTTAAATTTTTCAGTAATCAGCTATTTTATTTTAAAAGCCAAAATATTTTTAAACTAGTTTTTAAATTTTGATGCTTTGAATAGATACACTTTTACATGGTTCAAAAATAATATGAAGAGGTATACATTGAAAAATGTTACTTCCTCTCCTGTCCCATTCTACCCATTCCTCATCTTGTCCCAAATAACCAAATTTCATCATTTCTTATTTATCCTTCTAGTATTTCTTTTTGTAAATACATGTATTTTTATATTAGTCCCTTTCTCTTTTGTTATCACCCCTTTCTTATACCAAATAGGTTTTTTTTTTTCCTGTTTTATAGTTAAATAGGTTTTTTTTTTTCCTGTTTTATAGTTTGTTCTGAGGAGGAATTCATATGAGTGCATGGAGATTGCTTCCCCTTTTTACAGCTGCATAATATTCCATGGAGTAGATATACTATTAATATAATGTATTCAGTCTGTCTCTTATTGCTAGACCCTTGGGTTGCTTTTAATCTTTTGCTAAATTAGCACTACCACAATGAAGAACTATACATAGGTCATTTTCTACGCATGCATGTGTATTTATAGGATACATTTCTAGGAGTAGGATTACTGGGTCAAAGAGTAAAGGCATTTGAAATGTGTTAAGTATTGCCAAATTTCCCTCCATAGGAATTATACCATTTGTACTCCTACCACCATTATATAAGATTGCCTGGTCGGGCGAGGTGGCTCACACCTGTAATCCCAGCACTTTGGGAGGCCAAGGCAGGCAGATCACCTGAGGTCGGGAGTTCGAGACCAGCCTGACCAACATGGAGAAACCCCGTCTCTACTAAAAATACAAAATATAGCCAGACATGGTGGCGCATACCTCAAAAAACAAATAAATAAAATAAAATGAAGATTTTAAAGGCATATTTTTTGTAGCTCTGGAGAAACAGGCAATCTTTTTTTTTTTTTTTTTTTTTTTTGGAAAGGGCCTTTCCTTGTTGCCCAGGCTGGAGTGCAGTGGCACAATCACTGCCCACTGCAACCTCCACCACCTGGGTTCAAGTGATTCTCCTGCCTCAGCCTCCCGAGTAGCTGGGATTACAGACATGCGCCACCACGCCTGGCTAATTTTTTGTATTTTTAGTAGAGAGGGGGTTTCACCATGTTGGTGAGGCTGGTCTTGAACTCCTGACCTCAGATGATCCACCCACCTCAGCCTCCCAAAGTACTGGGATTATAGGCATGAGCCACCATGCCCGGCTGAATCTTCATTTTAAAAAAAAGTCTTTATGTGATCTTGAAACTGAAATTATCAAAAATTGTATTATACAGTATAGCTTTCTAACGTATTCACTCTCTGTTCAATAGGAAGAAAAGCGTATTATTTTAATTCTGAACAGGTATCTAGAGGGAAGTCTACAGTGAATGCCTGGTAACCTTGTTAAACGACTAGATTCTATTGAATTTCCACTAGAAATTATTTAGTTACTATTAAAGTCCATTTTATGGAAAGAGGGAGGGAAATTAACAAGCTCACGAATGTCATCTATGAAAATTATCCCACCATCTCAAGAAAGGAGACAAGATGACATCCTTTGAGCAGCATTATTTAATCAATTTTATTAGTGTTCTTACTAATACTCATTAGCACTCTAATAATAAAGTTCTTGATTAGCACTTTATTATAGTACTAATGCTGTTTGTGCCCTGAAATTCCCTGAATATCATAGTGAATTTTAATGACTTCCACATGATAATATAGTCTGTTGGATACTGGCAATCACAAATAATTATCAAGCATCTGCATACTCCTTATCTATAGGCGTCAGAAACAGTGGCTTTCCAAGAAGTCCGCCTATCAGGCATTACTGGACTCAGTCACAACAGATGAAGACAGCACCAGGTTCCAAATCATCAATGAAGCAAGTAAGGTGAGATGGAAGTATTTTCTACAGAGAATAATTTATTTCTGTATTTATTGGGGCTGAATGAAGTAAATTTCCACAAAAGCCAATTAAAGCTATGTAGCTTCAAAAATAAACCTCATTAGAAAAGGCATATTGGCCTTTTAAGGATTAGTGGCTCATGCCTGTAATCCCAGCATTCTGGGAGGCAGAGGCGGGCAGATTGCTTGAGCCCAGGAGTTCAAGACCAGCCTGGGTAACATGGCGAAAACCCATCTCTACAAAAAGTACAAAAAATTAGCCAGGCACAGTCGTGCATGCCTGTAGTCCCAGCTACTCAGGAGGCTGAGATGGGAGGATCTCTTGAGCCTGGGAGGTAGAGGCTGCAGTGAGCCATGAGAGTGCTGCTGCACTTCAGCCTGGGTGACACAGCGAGACCCTCCCTCAAAAAAGAAAGAAAAAATGAATGTCATCTTTTCATATCTATAGTGATAATATTGTAATAGTTATATTAGTATCAGTATGTAGATTGCCTGTATATCAGATGTTTTCCTAAATGTCTTACAAATGTTATTTCCTTTTTATTAGTCTTCATAACACATCTAAGAGGTACATTATATTTTCCCAGTTTTCAGATAAGGAAAATGAAGCCTAGAAAATCCCTTGCCCAGAGTCTCACATTTAGTAACCAAAATTTTCTCCTACATCTGTCAGACGCTATCACCCATGTGCTTTCTAACACTATTACACAATGCCCAGTTGCATGTGTAGCCTGAGCAAGGTACAAATTTAGGGTATGTCCAAATCTCAAAATGCAGGTGGGCCAGGGGGAACAGGGGACAGGCAAAAGGACTATGCAGTTGAAAACCCAAGTAACAAGTGTTCCCTTACCTGAGCTGTTTCACTAGAGGTTACCATAGTGTTTGCCTAGTGAGAGGGTTAGGGAAGTATATCTTAAGTGCTTTCTCTCACCCATGAAGTTGTCATGTTACTTTAGATGGGCCAGTCATAGAGGAAGCACTATGGACTGTGCTAGGATGTGTGACTGTTCACTACTACCTGATGCCCTCAACCTGACCCTCACTTTCAGATCCGCCCTGCATTCTAAAGGCATCCTAGGTTTCTAAGTCCTCTGAGACCTATCTGACTTAACTGGTAATTCATATCATTGAAAGACAGTTAAGGCCATTAGGTGTGGGTCCCCTAACTGCTTGGATAATAACTGCACCAACTCACTATCAAGTCCTGGTTCTGGGAAGCTGATGTTCATGGCAAAGCTGTGAACCATGTGACTACCGTAGTTCCTGCCCTGCAGCGCTCTGCTGACGTTAGTGGGTTCTCCATAATAATTGTAAGGCCTTTAATTTAGAAATGGGTCCAAACTTTATTCCCAAACAGAAAGAACAATTGTACAGTGAGGAAAACTACCTTCATTATGGAGTTTTAGAGATTTTAGTCATATGGAGTCTTCTTTCATAACTTTCTTGCCCAAATTCAAAATATGAGCTAGAATCATATCAATAGTTCTGTGTTCTCTATCCCCATCCCTTGTCCTCAACTTCTACAACATAGTTGTTATGGCAGTACTTGTAGCCCATCTCTCTTAGCTGCACAGATGGGGCAGTTAGCCTTTCTCCAAAACCTAGTGTTAATTCTTACACCACCCATCTTTCTGGAGTAATTTTCCTCCTTGCCTAGTATCTTTGATACATTCGAGTTCTCAGCTTGTGGAACCCCCAAAGCCATAGGTCCTCTAATGCTGATTCAGGTCTCCCTTTATGTTCTTATTTGTACATGTTGTTTATATATCCTTTTGTACCCTAGTTTGATAGCCGTTCATGGGGGAAAAAAAATGGGACAGCAGTAATTTCCGTCTTGGAGAGCCAACCACTGTTTGCGTGTGGTCTAATAGCCTGACACCCGGCCAAACCACTCTATTCAGGGTCAGCAGAAGCAATCGGCTCCAGGAAATGCATCAAGTCCACCAGAGGCCTTCCAGGAGTCTTTAGGCCTTAACCAGATGTCAAGAATTTCCTGTTGCATTTTTCTTGTCATTGTCTCATTCTCTTTCCTGTTTCCATTGTGTCTAACTTGAGAGAGTTGTAGTTGTCCATAGTCAGAGCAAGAATCCCTATCCATCCTTGAGGATGCTTAGTATGTTGAGCACCTGGTCATGAAGACATGCTGAGGTAAAGTAAATGAGGCAAAATCACCCTGAATATCAGTGGTGAGCCAAAATGAAAATTCTCAACACAGCGTGATACCAGTTTGCAGTGGACACCCACATATGCCATTTTACATTACTGTAGATCAGTTTCTCTTTTTGGATCCTGAAAAAGTGAGGGACAATGCTGTTCAGGTCAGGTACCGGGATCAGAGCCCAGCAACTCTGGATGCCTTCAAAGGCAAAGAAACCACAGTCCAGGAGGAGCCACAGGATCTCAGCACAAGACAGCACCTGGCTCAAAAGGAAGCTGAGGAGCCTGATAAACAAGGACAAATTACCTGGGACATCAGCAACGTAGCTCCCAAGACTGAGAACTTTGAGGACCTCTTGGAACAGACTCCATGCTCAGGTATTAGAAATTTTGGAACCACATGAGGAATCTGCATGCACTGATCTCAGGCAAATGTATGCAAATATATATTTCGGGAGATCACCCTGAAATTCTGCACTGAACTCCATTTTAATGTCCTCCTTGTCATGTGGTGTTGAGATGACTAGTAGGTACATAAGGTTTCATGCCCTCTGTCAGTCTGTTAGGGACAACAGCGGTGATGGTGATCGCTAATGTTACCTGCATCTTGTATGCAACTCATTGCATAGTGAAAGAGCCTCTTTTACACCAGGTGTGGTGTCTCACGCCTATAATCTCAGCACTTTGGGAGGCCAAAGCAGGCAGATTGCTTGAGGCCAGGAGTTCAAGACCAGCTATGGCCAATGTGGCAAAACCCCGTCTCTACTAAAAATACACAAATTAGCCAGGCGTGGTGATGCATGCCTGTAATCTCAGCTACTCCAAAGGCTGAGACATGAGAATCGCTTGACCCTGGGAGGCAGAGGTTACAGTGAGCCAAGATTGTGCCACTGCACTGCAGCCTGGGCAACACAGTGAGACACTGTCCAAAAGAAGTTGACCTAAAATATGGCAAAGACAGCATGAAAAAAGAAAAAATTAGGCCAAGTGCAGTGGCTCACACCTGTGATCCCAGCACTGTGGAAGGCCAGGGTGGGGAGATCACGAGGTCAGGAGTTCAAGACCAGCCTGACCAACATGGTAAGACGCATCTCTACTAAAAAATACAATAATTAGCCAGGCATGGTGGCGTGTGCCCGTAGTCCCAGCTACTCAGGAGACTGAGGCAGAAGAATCACTTCTCACAAAAAAAAAACCAAAAACAAAAATACAAAAATTAGCTGGATATGGTGGCACATGCCTGTAGTCCCAGCTACTCAGGAGGCAGAGGCAGGAGAATTGCTTGAACCTGGGAGTCAGAGGTTGTATTGAGCCAAGATTATGCCACTGTACTGCAGCCTGGGCAACACAGTGAGACTCTGTCTCCAAAAAAAAATTTTTTTTAAATAACAAATAACTTCTGTTAAAAATGGTTTCTGGGATGAGATGGGTGTTTCAAGGCGATTGCACATTAAGATATGGTATGCGTATGATCTGAAGTTTTAAAATAAGCTGCATACTTCCATTTATTCAGAATGATAGCTTTTTATTTCAGGTTGAGAGGGACAGCCCAGAGTCTAAGAGGATCGTGTTCAGCTCACAGCTGCAGTTCTCAAATTGCACTGATCAGGCGGATTCTGACAGATCCAACACTCTTGGTGCCTGCCTGCCGCTACACCTTTAAAACCCTTAAAGCAGTAACTTTAGAGTTGTCAAGATTTGTTAATTGTTGAATTTCTCCCTCTCAATTCCCTTCCCCAATCTGCTCCTTAATAAACAACCAGGAAGCAGAACCAAGCTTCATTCAACATTGTGTTAGGCTGCCATAGCTAAATACCACAGGCTGGGCAACTTAAACAACAGATGTTTATTTCTTGCAGTTTTGAAGGCTGTAAATTCCAAGATCAAAGTGCCAGCAGCTTCACTGTCTGGTGAGGGCTCTCTTCTTGCTTTGTAAATGGCTCCCTTCTTGTGCCCTCACATAGTGGAGAGAGAGTGTGTACACAGGCTCTCTGGTCTTTTCTTTTTTCTTTTTTTTTTTGAGACGGAGTCTTGCTCTGTCGCCCAGGCTGGAGTGCAGTGGCGCGATCTCAGCTCACTGCAAGCTCCGCCTCCCGGGTTCACACCATTCTCCTGCCTCAGCCTCCCGAGTAGCTGGACTACAGGCACCTGCCACCACGCCCAGCTAATGTTTTGTATTTTTAGTAGAGATGGGGTTTCACTGTGTTAGCCAGGATGGGTCTCGATCTCCTGACCTCGTGATCCACCCGCCTCAGCCTCCCAAAAGTGCTGGGATTACAGGCGTGAGCCACTGCGCCCAGCTCTGGTCTTTTCTTATGAGGGCACTAATCCGTTCCTGACGACTTCCTCAACCTCGTGACCTCATCTAAACCTAATTACCTCCCAAGGGCTTCATCTCTGAATACCATCATATTGTAGGTTGGGGCTTTAATAGCAAATTTTGGGAAGACACCAGTCCATAGCAAACGTGATGTTCCTAGGACATATATCTGTTACAAAACAAGCTGGAATGTTGACCTGTGTGTTGTCACAAGGTCAGAACATCCAGGCTTTGGAGAAAAACTGGTTGCAGGTTCACATGCGTAAGTTTTCTCACATGGGGTCCTAATATAGTGTTGTGCTTATTCCTGGTGACAGAATAATCAGGTAGATATTTAGTAAAGAAGCTTCCAGAAAATAAAAAGAAAGTGATCAGGAAAGTGTTGACTGCTTTTGTAGAACTCAGTTGTTTTCTTTTTTTTCCTACTACTCTCAGTTTTCTATCTTCAGTGAAAATTTGGTTTGGATTGAGAAAGAGACATCTAGTCTTGTGATCTAGGCAAAGGAAAATGTATGCTGTCTTGTGAGTCTAGCTTAAAAAGCATTGCTAGCAAGGATGTCTGGAGGAATCTACTTTATATTGCTAATTATGATGCTTTCTGACGATATAGGTGACCATTTGGCAACATGTTTATTTTCTTTTGCAGCCAGTTTGCAAGGTTTCACCAGAGACAGCACTTCCAACAGCTTCTCCAAGGATGCAGGAATATCTCCGAGCATCTCTGTGAAGTTACCCCTTGCCTCTTCATCTGAGCCTAATGAAAATGAGGCTTTGCCCAACCAGCCACCTTCTCAGCAGATGAGGCACAACTGCCACTTGTTAGCCAGTACTGTGTCTGCAGAAATGGCCAGGAAGAGGCAGCTAATTTGGGAACTGGCCAGACAATCAGAAGCACACCTGGACAGGCTAATTGTCCTTGGGGAACAGGCCAGTACCCAGCGTGAGGTTGCCAGTATTCTTCATAGAAAATCAGTGCTTGCAATAAACCAACTGGCTGCCACTGTGGAAGGGATGATTAGTGCCCTACAGCAATTTGATGAACTATTAGACCATTCTCTGGATCCCGGGCGGTCTTGATCACAGCTGGTAGAGGTGGTCGCTCACTGTTCTAGGTCTTTTAGGTTAACAGTTCTTTATGTAATAGTGAAGAGTCCTGGTGCCTTAGGAAAAGCAAGATCAACCTACCAAGGAGGAGTTGATGGAGTCATAATTTTCCTACTTAACACCCACTTCAAATTTAAATATGTGTTCTAGGGCTGTTCTGTTAACTCTATTACAGTCTTTACTAATTGTGATTCCCAGTTCTGGGTGAATGAAAAGTTTTTGTTTTAATGTAATTGTGATCAACCCTATGCTTGAAGACATAGACAAAGCTATTTCTACCACCATGATGTTTACAAAATATCTGATATTTTTGCCTATATAGCCATAAAAAAACTAGATTCATGGATAACAAACCACCAAGTTTTAATTGTTTTTATTTAGTAAGAGAGAAATAAGACAGGAAAAGAGAATTAATACTCTTTTTCCCAGACTGAGAGGTGGGCTTCTAAGTAAAGATATGTGAAAAACAGTAGAGGCTTGTAGTATTAAAATGAACCTCCAAAATGTATTCTTTTCTCTGAGGATGTATCTCAGCTTCTCTGTGTAGTTGGACATTAACACATCTTAAATTTTTTTAAGAGATGGGGTCTCACTGTGTTTTTCAGGGTGGAGTGCAGTGGTTACTCACAGGTGCAGTTAAGGCACACTGTAACCTCAAACTGCTAGGCTTAAGCAATCCTGTTGCCTCAGCCCCACTGAGCAGCTGGGGCTATATGCATGCAGCACCCACTGGCACATCTTAAATATTTCTAAGGGAGCAAAACCCATGCTTTCTCACCTCATTGTAACTATCCATTTAAAATTATTATTTTACATAAATTGATCTGGCTGGAATTGTGTGTAACTACTTATACTATCTAAGGATTCATACTAAATTCTCAATTTAAGCAGTCCAACATCTGTAACTTCTTAATGGATTTTTTCATTGTCATTTCCAATCATCACTAACAAGAGGAAGAGATTTGGTAGTTTATTTGTATATTATTTACATTTATAAATATCCAGCAGGTCCCAGCAAATAGGAAAGGAGTATCTACAAATGTTTACTATTTTAGGTAGAAGAATATAATAACAGTCATGTCCAGACTTTTTGAAAGAGCAAGGATGTGGTGGAAGGATTGGGAAAGAACTGGCAGTTAAGCCTCAGGGAAGTGGCTTTTGAACTGTCATCCACAGAGCCCTGAGGTTTTGACAGAGGTGCCTTAGGACTCAATACTGGGAAGGCAGGGGACCCTAAGGTGGGACACTGAGCCATTCCCTACTGTCTTTAACCCAAGAGGCTTTACTTATTGGACTTCTGGGAGTCTGGTGATATTAAAAGAAAAAAAAAATCTGATTAAAAAAAAAACACATGAGCCTAGATCATAGGAGGAAGTGCATACTAAGGTCTAAGATAAGTAGTGCCTGGACCAACAAAGCCATGTTGATGATAATGAGAGATAAGAATGAATCTGTTCATTGATTAAAAGGATGAGAAAAAAAGAAGGCCAGGCATGGTGGCTCATATCTGTAATCCCAGCACTTTGGGAGGCTGAGGCAGGAGGATCACTTGAGGTCAGGAGTTTGAGCCAGCCTGGTCAACAGGGTGAAACCCTGTCTCTATTAAAAATACAAAAATTAGCCTGGTGTGGTGGCGTGCACCTGTAATTCCAGCTACTCAGGAGGCTGAGGCACAAGAATTGCTTAAACCCAGGCAGTGGAGGTTGCAGTGAGCCAAAATTGTGCCACTGCACTCCAGCCTGGGCGACAGAACAAGATCCATCTCAAAATAAATAAATAGATAAATTTAAAGAAAGAATGACTCTAAATATTGCTAAATTTCAGAGTGATTTTTGCTAAAATAAGTTTGCTAAATTAAAATTAAAATGAGGATGAATCTGATTTATACATGAAGTCATTATAGTGAAAACAGGGTTATTGCTCTCTTTTTTTCCCCCTGGGCTGCAGCCTCAAGAACAGAGTTACAGATAAGTCTTTGGTTTAAACAAAAATTAGTTGTGTTTTTTTATAGAGAAAGCTATTTTACTAAAAATGGGACAATCTCGAGTGAATAACTAGATGTAAATTGTTAATCATATATAGGCAGACAACCTGATTATTGGTTGTCTAAGCCCCCTGCTTAGGATGTTCTTGCCCATTTTTGCCTACTCAAAGTCTTGCTAATTCCTAAAGGCCCTGCTTAAATGTCTACTCCTCCAGAGAAACGTCCAGAACTTCTCACCCTACAGTCATCATTAATAACCCCCTTAATCTCTTGCCTTTCTGCTTTAAAACATCGCAGAATGCTCTGTGTTAGCTTTGCATCTCTTTTATCTCCTCCAAATTGCAGCCTCCTCAAAAGTTCAATCATTGCAATAATAGATGCCAAATAAATGTTAATTGAATGGAATTTGAGAGAGCAATGGAAATACATGTTTAAATAGTGAGACAATACATAATCTAACAATTTGAACTTTGTACTTGGACATATTTCCAAATGTGAAAATTCTGATAGTACACTGAAAGTAGCTTAAATATATAAAAGAACATTAAACATGCAAGCAGTAATGGATCACTATTGCATCATAACCCTGCCTTAGAATATCTAGAAAAGGATCCACAGCCATAGCACTGTTTACTCGGTCACTGTTCAGTATCATGTTACAGTTTAACTGCCCTGATTGCTTCCCTGTATTCGCAAGAGGCAGAGTTCCAGTAACATCACCTTTTTGGTGCTGGCTTGATAGTCTCCATACTTCTTATCTTTTACTTGCACCACATTGTATCCATTCTAAGCTGTGTCACACAACTTACCCAGTTTAGCTGTCGTTTAACAGACATAATAACAGTAACAGCACAGGCACCCATTTGTAACCAAAATTTGGCATGGTACTTCATGAAGAAATTGCAATTGACTAGTGCAGCATGGCCCACCAGTTGAAAACCATGGTCTTAAAATATTTTTCTGATCTAGGTGCCTCATTTTGTAACCTGAATCCAGTCATTTCTATTCTCCTAGAGCTTCTTCTTCTGTGTTTTATTTTTCAAGTTCTGTATTATCTTCAGGGTTCTGCATTGTTTCTGTGTCCCATTGTAGGCAGAATTTTACCTACGTTCCCCAGCCTCTTGTAAAAGTTCCCTGGGTCTATTCCCAGCTGTGAGCAAATCAATTCCAGTTTTAGAGCAGCAAGCCTCATTTCATCCACCACTAGAGAACTCCAATAATCATTTTATTTTCTACTCTTTTCTGTAGCCTGCCACCCTTCATCTTTCATCCAGCTGGAATCTAGTTACTCTGCTTATAACACCCAAAGTCTGATTCTTAACATATCTGTAGTTTATCATAGATACAGTAGCCACATGTCCCAATCTTCCAAGGCAAGTTTCAGTTTATGCCTGTCTTTCCGTGTGATTATTAATAGAGACTCCTTTCACTCTGAAGATCCTGGTTTGGACAACTATGTGTTCACCAGCCACAGAACACATAGAAGATATTTCTTGCTGCTATACAGCTATATCCAAGCAAATACATACATGAACTGGGAGCTTTTCTTTTAAATTACCATTGTTCTCCAATTTGGTTGGCCTATTGTAATTTAAACAAATACTTTTCTAATTATTGTAATTTGTGCAAAATTGGCCATCACTTGGGTAACCTGTTGAAGGTAATCTTTTGAATCTGTTTCCAGGTTACTCTCCTGGCTGAAATTTATGGTATAGAAGGAAACATTTTCAGGCTTAAAATTAATGAAGAGACTCCTCTAAAACCCAGGTTTGAAGTTCCTGATGTCCTCACAAGCAAGCCAAGCACTGTAAGGTAAGCCAAGGAGTGAGGTATCTTAGAGATGTGCCTGATATATTCTTTTATCATATCTTGAGTAGTAAATTTTGTTATGTGCACCTCTTATTTTGACTGTTCAAAACTACAGTCATTTACAGAGTTATAGGTTGGTGCAAAAG